TAAATTTCACTTTGAAAAATTATTTGACTATTTTCAAGACTATTTATATATTTTTTTCTTTGTTATAAAGATGTCAATGGTTAATTTAAGAAATAAAAAAACATGCATACTCCCTATTGTGGTGATACCTAAAACCGAAAAGCGTTGGAATTTTCTTTTTTTTTTATAAAATAAAGATATTTTGAATTTGAATAGACGGTTTAATGCCAATTTTATACTGATACAACTTTTATTAACTATAGATTTGTTTATTAATACTACTATTACTAATTATCTGTATTCAATTAGAATGCTACGTATTTACGAGAGCCTCAACATTTTCTTATCAGAAAAGTATTTTGCAATGTAGATAGATAATACAGTTGAGTTGTACATGGATAATAATTGACAGAAAGAATCAGGCATTGTTATTTGTTAATCTTATCGATTTCTTACACGCCGATAAGTCAAGGGCAAACTGTCAAAAATTATCCGCCGTTCTTGTCCTAAAAACAATTATTTTTCAGTTTAAAGATTTTCGACCTTACGAACCTTATGGACTCAGAAGATAGTATTTGTTGTAGCAACATTGTATATTGATTGTATACAATTTCAACTTTACATAATAAGTATATAAGATAGAGGTATTTTGTTGCACTTCCTGGCTATACACACAAAGGCAAGTATAGTATTTTAGGAGAAAAAAATCAAATAAAACAATCTTTTCTAAACACGATTTGAATGAGTGTGCAAATGGGTGTAAAAGAGAGCTTGAGCTGAAACATTTGCTAAATATGTTACTACATACATATGCATTGCGGCCCAATACTCATCCACAAGTGGAGTCATTGCTCTAATAAGAGATTAACACTTGAGTGTTTAAACAAATCATGTATAAAGTGCTTCGTTATTGATATAATTGTCCGTTTTTAGTTAAAAATGTCACGAGTATTAAATATCAACATCTACACCAAAATCTAGCTAATAGTCGAGGGATATTTCTGCTAGCTAAAGATATACATTGATAGCAGAAGTATACATTTCAAATGCATGTGGCATTGTGACAAAAAAACAGTGGTATTCATTAAATATTATCACGTGTACTAATAGAATTGTATTTATTAAAACTTCCAATTCTAAGGGTTAATGCAATGTGTTACATTGCAAGGTGTTTTGGATGGCTTTTACCTGTCACAAACTCTAATTGGGAATGTAATCGTTTAGACAAAGAATAAGTCGAGAGACTAGATAGTAATATATACTGTAGGTCTCGAATGGAGAAATCTGGCTGTGACTTCAGTAGCTTTAAAGTCCATTCTATGATTGGAGACGCCATTAGGGCAGGCACATTCAATTTATTATATATCATATTGTCCTGGACATGTTAATTCTTATTCTTCTTCTTGTTACGAGCGGGATATACAATAAATAAAAGTTGTCGGTTAATTACTTTTATTGCACTGTATTTACAAACACTTACTATTACAAACAAGAAATGACTATATAACTCGTTAGTCGCATTAGAAATTCACTTCGATGTTAATTCGTATCGTAAAACAATACTGTCCCGTACGGCCAACACGCTCCGCTTTTATAGTGCTATCGAAATTACTAGACTAATTCCCAATATCCAATGGAATATTCCAAATAGAACCACGTACAATAAGGCATCTAGAAATTTCTATAATCTGCCGATATTCGACACTATATGGCACTGCCAGCAAGTATCGGAATTAAGAACCATAATCTTAATGCGTAGCGTTGTGCCCTATTTGATACTAGATGGCGATGCCCCCCAGATACAACACAGCACCACTCAATCCTCTGGCGCAAAAGTACAAATAAAATGTTTCTACTCTTTTACTTCGCACTTCACTGTTACTAGGTAATATTTTCCAGCATTAGCTAGTTACAGTGTTGTGCTTAAAGAAAAATAATATGTTATAAATAACATATATTCATTTAACTTGTAGGTATAATTAAATTATGACAACTTTAATTGGTGTAACCGAAATCGTAAAGAAGGAAGATATCTTGGCAATACTTTATAGATCTAAAAGATCGGATTTATAATATCGGAGTATCAAAGACACAATCTAACCAATGATTCATAATATATCCAGCGGTTCCATGATGTGCAACATTAGGCTGGGTAGTTTCCCAAGGTAGGATAGTCTAGGTAGTGTAGGAGTTAATACCCCATTAGTAGGCCCTAAATTCTGAAAGAGATTTATTTTGAATTTTTGATCTTTTTTGGGATTACATATTGCAAACTAACTGTAAACAGTTAGTTCCTTATGAGCAATAGTATACTATTCTTAATAAGGAACAAAACTGGCACGTCTAAAGCTTAAAAAAAAAGTTGAACCGACTTCAAACAATACTAACAAAGAGCACTCTAAAAATCTAGCTGCTATCACGGTTAATTTACTATAATTTTTTGAAGAGTTCCGTTGTCTGTCTCCGAAAGTCACCATCAGGTCTTTATGAAATTTAAATAAGACAATTTTGAAACAAACCCCTTTAAAAAAAAGATTTTGAAAATCCGTCTACATATAGGTATCTGACGAAGTTATGCCCGAACACACATAAAACAATAAGATATTAACATCCGAATTGATAACCTCCTCCTTTTTGAAGTCGGTTAAAAAGTAGTAATAAAAGGCATATCCAGTCAATGTAAACTTAATTTTAAATCATTTTTAAAACTTACTTAAAAAAAAAACCTACATAATATTAAAAAAAAGGTTGAGGTTAAGAACTTCCTCAAGGTTTACTTTTTTAATAGATGTCATTGTGATATTTGGACATAAATTCAGGAGTATATTATGTCCATTTCATCAAGTTTGCTATGTTGTTATATTTTCCTATTTTATTTAGTTTTATTTTATGATATTTTTGGTGTGTTTTGAATACCTATCTATCTATCTGCGTCAGAACATGGGTATGACATGAGAACCATGTATTTTAGCAATAGCGACGACAGCTTTGTAGATATCGAGATTTTAGATATAATTAATATCATAACCAGTGAGATTGTAATTTAATACTATGTAGATTATTTGATGTCGCATTGATGTGACATTTACGATTAGATATGGATCGTACAATTTATGCAATCATAAATAAAATAATAAATGTAATCTAATCCAAGCCAAACGTAGTCACATCTGGCTTAGATTAGTTAACATAAAATTTGGACTCTGACTTTTCAGGGTCACAAATTAAACCTAAAAGATTTTAGCTTAATATATCAAGGATATTATGTCAAAGTTGAAGGGAAACTCTTATCTGATACGAACTTTGTCTTAACACAGCGTCACATAATGTACTTTGAGCGTGATACATAATACCTTTAATTTGCTCCATGCATGGGCTGCTTATCGTCAGCTAATCGGTTTATCGGACTAGATAATAAGAACTACGGCGTGACCGTTTCTCGTTTCCTGTATCACTGAGCCATATTCTAAAAAATATTTTGATTTTCACAGAACACTTTTTTTATCCTTGTTGAAAATTTATACCATATTATGAGGCTAATTAGTAATTTCTGCATACCTTAAAACTACTATACGTGTTTCTGAACGGTCAACATTTTAGCACCACGCAATGTCTAGTAATATAAAAACAAATATTAATTATAAAAATATTAAAAAATGTGTGGTGATGATGATGAAAAAATGTGTGAAAAATTGTGAGGATAATTATAGTTCAAAGTAGAATTTGAGTTTAAACGAAACAATGTTTAACAAGAACAAATTCTTTTACACATTCCACATAAAAACATTGCTACAAGACATCGAAAAAACAATTGACCATCTGCAAAAGTTTATGATTTTACTAATGAGTATCATATCGCACCCTCGGTGCAACAAAGTCTCAACAGGTCATTTTGTAATTTTACAGGAACGGACTTTTAAGTTTTTTTTCGATCATTTTTCCTTTTTTCTAGATTACTTCCTACAGCAGCCGGGATATCTCATTAAAATTATATTATTTGTTCTTTTAACTACAGTATCATGTAAAAAGATTTCTTTGAATTTATTAGAAAATTGAAAAAAAAAGGAAACAAAAAAAAAGTCGTAACTTGTGACTATGTCGCACCAGGTACAAATATAATTTAATTATTTAAGCGTTATAATGGCACTTTGTTATTTCAATATACATGAATAAAAATTGACATTAATACCTTTAAGCCGGTGTAGCTCCAAGTCACGACTGACTCATGCGGGCGCGGGGTCACTACTTACCAATCATACTCTGTTCTCCCAATATTCGTCGAAAAAGTAGCAAGAACCACAAAGGCACTAATGCCATCTATCGATATATTCAAATAATTTCGTGGCTGTCTTTGATTTCCCAAACGAAGAAATGGTTTATAGACAATTTGGCATACTTAAGTCATTTTGGCAATTTTGCCTACTTGTGACTTTGTTGCATCGAGGGTGCGATATGGTGGTAAGAATTGTAGTTATCGTAGTAGTAGGTGTTATCGTAAGCTACCGCGCACTAACATCAAATTATTTTGCTCGTTAAAGTTTAATCGATATTAACGTCTAAAAGAAGTTTCTGCAAAAGTTTTTGTGAAATTTAATGGTATAAAACGATTTATCAGTGAACTATAAACAAAGTGGCCTCACTTTGTTTATAGTTCACTGATAAATTATTATCGTATAAATCGCCTGATTTAAAGTGTAAATAAGGTAATATTCTTGAGTTCAATCAACATTATAATTATCCGTTACCGTCACAAAGTGCAACAAACTAACCACGCAAAGTGTTTTATACAAACGCGTAAGAGACACGTTCTACCTGGCGCTTACGCTGTTCTTCTCGCCGACTCGCGTGTTCACCGATTTCTTTGACTATAAGGGCGGCCTTAACTTGGATTTCGCAATTTATTAAATAATATTGATTGCACTTGTCTACGACTTTTGAGTGTGCACTTTTATCTTATACTCGTATACTATGACATCAAGTTCTTTGGCTTATGGGTGTTGTACTGGTGAGGAAACTGATGATCATGGGCAGTTTATCAACTGCATTAGATGCAATAAATCGTACCACTTTCTTTGTTTATCAATCCCGGAAATCTCAAGAGACTCTGATTTTTTCTTAAAATGGCAGTGTCCAGGGTGCATGAGTCTAATTCCGAAGATAGCAAGGAACGATTCCACCCCTCTACGAAATATTTCCTCCTCAAGGGGCAGTAAGAGACCTGCTCTGAACTCTCCACCCGAAATTGGCACAGTCGCAGCCGATGATATACGGTCCATTGTGAAGGATGTTATAAAAACTGAACTAGCTATTATGCTACAGAATATCAATAAAAGCATTGTTAGCATCATAGATAAGCAATTGGAACCTATTAAAAATGATGTCCAAGAGTTAAAAGAGTCGCTAACCTTCCATACAAAAGAATTTGAAAAATTTCAGTCCGAACATGTATCTACAATAAGTAGCTTAAAAGCTATAAAAGAAGAAAACTCTCAATTGGGAAGCACCGTTTCAGACCTAAACCAGAGATTTAATTACCTGGAACAGCAGGCTAGGTCTAACAACATTGAATTACAGTGCCTACCAGAAAATAAAATGGAAAATTTATACACTGTAATTAAGCAGATGGGGTCCGTGGTAGGGAGTGTTCTGAAGGACAGCGATATTTTGCACTGCACTCGAATAGCCAAACTTAACAATGCGAATAGCCGTCCCAGATCCAACGTGGTACAGTTCGCATCTCCACGGATTCGCGACCAAGTACTAGCCGCTGTTATTGAATATAATAGAAAGAACCCTGAAAATAAACTGAATAGTGCGGATTTTGGTCTTGCGGGTAAGAAAACTCCTGTTTATGTCGTCGAACATCTATCACCTGGCAATAAATCACTTCATGCGGCTACAAGATTGAAAGCCAAGGAAAGAGGGTATAAATTTGTTTGAATAAGAAGCGGGAGAATTTTTGTTAAGAAAGATGAAGATGCGACCCATCTTTTAATTAGAAGCATGGAATCTTTGAAGAAGATAATATAACTTGGGGATCTGTGTTACTATGGATTTTTATTTTTATAAAATTACTTTGCATGATTATTTAACAATTTTTCTTTTAAAATTCAATCATTTAAGAGTTTATTACCAAAATTGTGGTGGTTTAAGGACCAAAATTCAGTCAGTGTATCGTAAAATATGTTGCAATGACTTCGATGTAATTATTATCTCAGAAACATGGTTGAATAGTTCTGTAAGTAGTGGAGAACTATTTGATAACAGATACGTGGTTTATAGAAGAGACAGAGAAACCTCGACTATAACAAATTATCCAAAATGTGACAAGGAAGGAGGAGGAGTTCTTATTGCAATCAAAAATAAATTCAAAACGAAACGATTGAAATGCTGGGAAAGTATTTGTGAGGATCTTTGGGTAGCTGTTGATATTCCTGGATCACGTTCTGTTCGGCGAATAGTTCTCTGCGCAGTATATTTACCTCCACCGGTTCACCGCCCGGTTCTAGATTGTTATATAGATCATTGTAATGCTGCCTTTGAAAAGATTAGGGATTCACTTGTATGTATTGTAGGAGACTTTAATTTAAGTAACATTAATTGGAAATTATTAGGGACCACAAGTAGTAATGTTGTATTACCTGGCAAATGTCAAATATTGATCGATTTTATAAACGCTAATAGACTTAACCAATGTAATGGGATCACCAATATTTCTGGACGCAATCTCGACCTTGTGCTTTCTACAAATGCGTCAACTAGTGTATGCCAATCCATTAACCCTGTAAGTAAAGTTAGTGGACTACATCCACCTTTAGATATTGATATACCTTTAGTTATGGAATCAAGACTTCCTTATAACAATATCAAAGCTAGACCTAATTTTCATAGAGGAAATTATCAATCAGCTTGCACTGCATTTCAAAAAGTTAGCTGGGACAAATTGTTCAGTGGAAAAGATAATGTAAATGAGATGTTAAGAGTTTTTTATGACACTATAAATACAGTAATTAAAGATAATATACCATCTTGCAATCCTAGAAATAACAAATTTCCCACTTGGTTTAACAATAGACTAATTAAACCCAGTAACTATGACTGATGGGGTTAAAACCACTTCAAATGGTACCGAAGTATGCAAGCTCTTTGCCAATTACTTTTCTTCCGTTTACAGTTCCGACCATAATCCTTATTATAACAACAATTCCGAATACTTACAATCACTGGAAAGCTATAGCACATGTTTAAATAAACCAGTTTTGGATGACGAAACAATTTTAAAAAAGCTACAGACTCTAGATATCACTAAAGGCCCGCACCTTTAGTGATATCTAGAGTCTGTAGCTTTTTTAAAATTGTTTCAGACGGTATTTCACCAATATTTATTGTAGCGTGTTCTAACGAGTTAGTACGTCCGCTCTCACTCATCTTTCATAAATCTTTAGCTACTGGTGAATTTCCCTCAAAATGGAAAGTGGCAAAGGTGGTACCTATTTATAAAACGGATTGCAATGCAACCGTATCTAATTACAGGCCTATTTCCATATTATCAGCATTTTCCAAAGTTTTCGAATCATTATTATATCCTTATATTCAAAATCATTTAAAATTATATTTAAGCGACCATCAACATGGGTTTGTGGAACGGAGATCCACTGAATCAAATTTAGTTCCCTTTACCGAATTGTTAAGTAACGCCATAGACACTGGTCACCAAGCCGACGTGATTTACACTGATTTTAGTAAGGCGTTCGATAAAGTTTCCCATAGAATTTTAATTTCTAAATTACGAGCGTATGGAATTACTGGCTCTTTGCTTGATTGGTTGAGATCATATCTTCAGGATAGACACTTTTTTGTTGTAGTTAATGGCTTTGAATCAGAATTCCAGAGAATTACTTCGGGCGTTCCGCAGGGTTCACATCTAGGACCAGTTCTTTTCAATTATTTTATAAATGACGTCACAACCTGTTTTCAACACTCCGATGTGTTTATGTTCGCAGATGATTTAAAATTCGTTAGATTGATAAAATCGGAAGATGATTCTAAGCTTCTGCAAAGTGACATTAATAGACTCATTCTGTGGTGCAACAATAATGGAATGCACCTTAATTCTAAAAAGTGTTATCATCTAAAATTTTCAAGAAAACACAACCTAGCATTGTGTCATTACTTTATCAACAATGATAAAATTAATGAAGTGGAACAAATTCGTGACTTGGGTGTAACATTCGATAGAAAATTGACGTTTGTACCACATATGGACAATATTATTAAAAAAGCTTCAAGGATGTCGGGTTTTGTATTAAGAAATTGCAAAGCATTTCGAAATAATAGAACTAAAATATTACTTTACAACAGCCTTGTCCGTAGTATATTAGAGTATTGTGGAGTAGTCTGGCGTCCGCATTACGCCACTCATTCGCTGCGTATTGAACGTATCCAAAAACGCTTCGTTTGGCACCTTGCTTTTTCGAATGGTGTGGCTAAGAAAATACGTTCATACAAAGGTCGGCTTAAATACTTTCAAATGCGTTCCCTAGCAGGTCGTAGACTTCTCAATGATGTAGTGTTTGCCTGTAAAGTATTTGCATCTAAGATAGACTGTCCACAACTTATAAGTTCAATCAAGCTGCGCGTTCCGGCTAGGATGCCGCGCTATTCTATTACACCACTTGTTCCACCACTTAAAAGGACTGTTCTAGGTGCCAGCTCTCCATGCTCAAGATTGTGTAAATCAATTAATGGGTATAGCAATAAAATCGATCTTCACTTTGACTCTGTGGCAAAAGTTAAATCAACACTTTTGAACTTACCTGATTTTACATAGTGTATCTATTGATATATTAAACTGGCAGAAATTGTAATTATAAGAATGTCTACATTTACGAATTACATTATATGGCTTACTGTCTGTATTTTTTATAATATTTTAAATGCGGTGTTTACCTTTAAGTAATTGTAACATTAAGTTTTGTATTTTCGCATGCAACTAGAATAAGTTTAAATGTTAACAATTGTTGGTAGACCTCAACTAATAAATAAATAAATAAATAAATAAATTGTAGTTTTATAGGTATACAAAATTTATTCCTCTTAGTTATTTCAAACCTGTCCAAGACTGGCTTGTTGTCCTAATTTTTAGTGGTCTTGACTAATGAGCTAAAGATCGTGACTTTGATTCCTACCTAGGATACCTACCTAAACAACTGTCGCCGCCTCTGGCGCTGATCGCTCGGAGCTGGGCCTCCCGAGGTTTTGCCTGGGGTCTCACCTGGCTCGGGCTGATCGGTCGGTCCCCCCCAGAACAACCAACGGTGTTGTTTGGGTAAGGTAATCCCATGATCTACCCCTGTTTACAGGGGTAGATCATGGGAACAGTAGACACCGCTGGCAGGGGACAAAAGCTCCGATACAGCCACCACACGTCCCCTGCGGGACAGTGTGAAGACCAGCGCTAGTAGTGAAGGGCATTAGTGTTCGCGTCGCTAAAGATACATGATCCGAGTAATAAGCACACAGTGAGTTTTATTATACCAAATACTTGTTAACAATATTATGTATTGAAATAATTGAGTTAATTTATCGTTAGTGTGATAAAAATAATATGTATGTATTTAGAAATATATAAGTATGTTAATCTGCGGTCTGGTTACCATGGTACAGGCTCTGCCTAGTTAGGGATGACCATCTTCTTACCCTTTGCCCAAAATTTATTTAGAGTTTTCTTCTTCTTTTCTCCTGTATCGTCAGTTCACTGCTTACACCCTTTCTTGCCATATCCATGTTTGCTTGGTCATCTCTACGCATAACATGTCTTTACCAGAGAACCTATATCTTCTCCAATTTTCATCCCCTGGTGCTACTTTCAGGCTTGCTCTAATTCTAACGTTTTCCAGTCTTTTTCTATTTTAAAGTGACCTGAACTTTCTGACGCATCATTGTGACTAGCTTCATGCTAATAGAATTGGTTAGAATCAAATTATAATAAAGTATTATAGAAATATAGTTTTTACAAATAATACAAATTATAATTACAAATGTGAGATAAAAGAGAAAATATTTGGGGAAAAAAATTATATTACTATGTTATTTATGACTGCATATTATTATGGCGTATTATATATTATTTGTAAACGCCAAAACTAGCCCAGATCATCATTGTAAATACTTCGTAACATATTACGATGCTACCATAGCCTATTATACCAGCGCTGTTGGTTTGATAATAGTTACATGTAGACAATAACCTTGATCTTGGTCATGTGTATCACGT